GGGCTGGGGATTTAGCTCAGCAGCAAAAAGCGCCTCCCTGGCAAGCGCAAGGTCGTGAGTTCGGTTCCCGGTACCGGAGAAAAACCAAAAAAAAAAAGAAATTTAAATAATTTTAAAGTATTCATTAACGCCCATGTCTTTAGAACAGTTGTCAAAAATATTTAAATTTAATATAGACATAAAGTTTAATACAAAAATTCATGTCCCTGAAGATTCTTAATAAAAAACAATGCTCTCTTGGAAAAAAAGATTGCCAAGGGAATCATAGTAATACTAGTGTAGAAAAATCAACAGATAAATTTGTCTGAGTGAATGACAAGGATAGGACATATAAAATACTATTGTAATATTTTGCTATAGAAAACGTAGTATATTTTGGAGGCAGAGAATATGGGACTACTTCTCTGAAGAAACAATTTGTACAAGTTAGTTGCATTTGGATTATGGTTTGCACTCTAATAAATGAAAACTTTATTTTTAGATATTTTCAGAATGCAATTCTACTAGCCTGACCCTCAGTAATAAGACTTGCTAAAGATCTGGGAATTTGAAAATTTATGATAAATATCTGTATCAGTCAGTGCTCATTAGAGAAACATTTCATGCAAGTTATATGAGTATATATGGGTTTACAAGATTGCTGCCAACAGTGTAAGGTATGGAAGAGTGCAAAAGGACTGTCTGTGCGCTGGAGTTCTTAAGGATCCATCACATGCCTGGAGCTCACTGTAGTGTCCTGTGTGAGTCCATATGAAGAGGTCTAAGTGTCCGTGATGGAAGCCTGAAGGGTCTGCAGTGGAAGCCAGGGGACAATGTCTGAAGGTGAAGGGAAGGTGAAGACTGGAGCTCCTCTGAAGAAACGGAAGCGAGGCTTCCTGCTTCATTTCCCTTTTACACCATTCAGGTAAAAATCCTACCCAGGGTGGGTCTTCTGTCTTCAGTAAATGCCCCCAGCTGCACCCAGAACTATGCTGATCCATTTAGTTGGATGTTTGTCAGTCAGGTAACTATCACAATATCCATTTGTTTTTTCTTTTTTAAATTTTTTTATCAGTACATGTTTATAGTACATAATGATTACATTGATCATGGGGAGCTGACACATATACATAACACATCTTAATTCATTTTTTTATTCCTTACTCTTTTCTCCCCTCCCCCCACCTCAAACTCTTGGTCCACTTCCATTTTGCAAAAGTTCTATCTTTCTGTTTTCTATTATCTGTCCTTTATTTGCTCTTTAATTTGTTTACATGTTGGGTTTCTCATATAAGAGAAACCATGTAATATTTAACTTTGTGTGTCTTTTTTCACTTATGGTTATTTCATTTAACATTATGGCTTAAAGGTGCATCCATTTTCCTACAAATGATTCAAATTTATTCTTTTGTATGGCAGAGTAGTAAAAACCACATAAAAATTTCTTGACTCAGCAAAGTTTTGTAAGTCAGATGAAAAATAAAAAAGAATCAACAACAAAATGAGTCAGAGAGTACTACCTCCTTGGTATGATGAAGCTCACCAGCCAAAATACTGATACATAGAAAGGACTCCAGTACATGTGTACTGCACCTCAGCAACACTTGACTGCTTTCCCTACTGGGGCCTTGCAAACACCCTGTCCACTGTGCTTGCCAAGTATTCGAGTTTTTATGTTTTTTGCGTGAGGAGGGGTTCTAGTAGCAACTCCTTGCTGTTCTCCTGTCTTAAAATGTTAGCATTCTCATGGCCCAGTTCAGACAATCTTAATGTGAAACCAAATGTATGACTTCCTCTAAAGTGAAAGAGAAAAGAGGATCATGGACTCCATCAACTAGAAATGCCTATCGAATACCTGTGAAAACCATTTGCCTCATGATGGACACAAAGGGTAAGATCCCTGCACAACTGAGGTTGTAGTTTATGGAGCTCTCTCCACATATCAAGAAACTCAAAAAAACAGGCACATGTGTTTAGGCAAGATTTTCACAACTTCAAAGGCAGTGGCATGGAATGGGAGATAAAGGGCTTCAGTTGCAGGGACCTCTGAGGTCTGAAGTACTTTTCTTGTGTGAAAGACCAAGCAGGGGGCCCACATGTCGATACCCTGACCAGGCCCTGAATCCTCCATGCCTTTGGGAGGAGTATAGTGCCTCATCACAGGGTTTCTAAAGTACTTAAAATGACCCATGCCAAGTGCTTCATATAGGGACTTGAGCCCAGGCAGCCTATGATAGCCTGTTTCATTTTGGTTTTTGGTGGTACTGGAGATGTTACTCAGGTGTACTCTACCATTGAGCTACCTTCCCAGTCCTTTATTTTTTGAGATGAGGTCTCACTAACTTGCCCAAAGTAGCCTTGAACTTGTGAGCCTCCTGCCTTGGCCTTCCAGAAAGCTGGCATTACAGATGTGTACCACTGTGCCCAGCTCAGATGTCCACTTTCATTGTTGCTGTCATAGGCAGCCATATAATGGTTGATTTCTAGTGTACATATCACAAATCCAGCCCCTGGACACCTCTGAGTCGATTGTTTCATTTTTCCTACTAAGATATATGTACATATGTGTACACACACACACACACCTACTATTTTTTGAGACAAGGTCTCACAAAGCAGTGCAGTCTGAGTTTGATTCCATATGTAGGCCAGGCTGCCCTCAAATTCATAATCTTCCTGCGTCAGCCTCTTGAGGGCTGGGATTACAGGTGTATAACACCATAGCTGGCTGTGACATATTTTTGTTAAAGTTCTGATTTAGTTTCCAACACTTATTCAGAGAGCACATCAATATTGAGATCTCACATGGCTGTGGGTCACCACACAGAACGACTTGATATGCCTCTGCCCCTTGCAGTGCACCTCAGCTCATAGTTTCCAGGGCCTCTCAGATTCAAGGCTCTGCACTGTGCTGACCGGCCCCTTCCGGGGCCAAGAGCAGGACAGGTGGTCAGGCAGAAGAGGATGTCCGACAGTCATCACCTCCTAACCCTTCCTGCACCCTATGGGAAGGAAAACTTGTTTATGGTGGTTTTATGGTCTGGATCTTAAATGCCTGATAACGGCCCATGGGTTGAAGGCTTGTTTGACAAGTCTGGCACTAAGGGGAAGATCTGAACCCTTAGGAAGTGCAGCTTAATGGCAGGCAGTCAGGTCATGTAGGTGCTGTTGAATGGGATATGAGGATCCTGGCCCTTTCCCTGCTGTTTCTTGGCTTGCAGGAAACAGCTTATTTTGCCACGTGTCAGTCAGCTACAAAATACCAGTTTGGGTATTCAGCAAAAAGAAATATCATCAGGGTGGGGCTCCAGAGCTAGCTCCTGTGGAAAAAGCCTCACTCAGAACTATCAAGCCAGGTCTCATGGAAAGAGCCCCCCTGACAACTACCAAGCCAGGTTCTGTGGGAAAAGTCTAACACAAAAGCATCAAGTGTTGGACAACATTGATCAGAAGACTGGCGCCCGCCTGCTGGCCCCGTGCTGTCCCCGCCGGTGGGCCTGGGAGAAACCCTGGGGTCACCGAAACAAGGTGCTGCCAACTAAATAGTGGAGAGCAGAAACCCGGACAGTCCTGGTGCGGTGGCCCAGCGCTGTTTCCTGCGTGTTGTGTCTTTATGATGCCATTTTCAACTGCCAAGTCTAACTTTAGGGAGTGAAGGCGGAGTCCCCGGTCAAAGGGAACAGTTTCAGCGGGACAGGAGCAGAAGGCCAGATCATCTACTGCAGAGGAGGTTGGCAGAGACCACAGCCAATCGTAATGTCTGGCATGTTGTAAGTAAGCGTCCGTTTCACACGCCTCCTTGCACTTTCCGAGCAGATCTTTTTTT